CGAAAGAGATCGTGGTGGAAGGCAAAAAAGTTGGTCGTCCTCCTTGTCGACTTCAATACATAATATTTTTTTATCTACACTCATGTCGCCCCACGACAACGGCTAACTAGAGCCGAGGTCCGAGTCTCAAAGACGCCCTCTTGTTGAGCCGACCCCCTCAGGTTCGAGTGGTCTAGAGGCTCCAGACGGAGAGGAGACTTCCCCCGTGGTGAGATGCCATCCGCCTGGAATACCTCTAGAGGCAATCGCCAATTCTAGGCTTCAGGTCCCCTTAGGATCTCGCCGTCCCCAAACCCGGTGACGCTGTAAAGGTCATCTGTGACCAACAGCATACACACTCGAAAAAAAAACTTATGTCGAAATATATGAATTACGATTTTAAAGAAGGTTTTATAAAGACGTGTTTACTTTATAAACGCACATACATAAAATTAAAAATAAAACTCATTACAGTACTGCTAGCTGTATCGTTATAGTTATTTATGATACAAGTGCGGTAAGTTTTTTTCACAAACGAGTAGACGAATGTAAGCCCGAGACGAAGTCAAGGGTTTACCATAGTCACGTGTTTGTAATACCAATCCGCACGAATGTCATACAACTTGTCTTGTGTCCTTTGTTGTGTGCAAAGAAGTATATTTATTATTATTATTACAACATTTTTAACACATTTGTGATAATTTAAGTAACAAAGCAAATTTTTTCTAATAGCAAAATGGCGCGCATATCCCAATGGTGCCCATTTCCAAAATGCACGACGTGCGGTTGGTGAAAATTAGAAGTACATCTTCTCTTTTTTCTTTTTAGTATTAAAGAGAGATAGGTATAGACTAAAAGCCATTCCAAGGAGGTTCGATCGAAATTAAAAAAAATACGCATGATGCGTTGTATGGGAGCGGAACGCTCAGCCGTATGGCACGTAATTTTGACTTTTCCAACAAAGTATACAACCTTCTTAAAATCATTTTTGAGCAAATGTGTCGAAAAGAAATTGCATCGGCGTTATACGTACTCTTCAGTAAAGCTCAGTTGTTTACTTGAATAATGCGTATATTGCGAATATAATTACATATAAATAAAATGAAACGAAAATTGCGAAAAAAAGTTGAGCGTACAAAATTTGAATTGCGTAGAGAGCGAAGTGTAGAGATGGGGTTTTTTGATCACGTGGGTCAAAGCTGCTTCTATTGGTAGAAATGGAGTGACGTTCCGGTGTAGGCAGAACTTCTTACTCATGCGTCAACAGAAATAATTATATTTTAATCTTTTGAGCCATGATATTAGGGTGTATGTGAAAAAGATGCGCACGCATTCGTAGTTTGAACTTAATTTACCGCGCTTCCCATAAAATTTTCTACCGATCGTGTTTTGTTTTCGGGATTTTAGAAAAGTTTTGCAATATACTTTTTCTTTGGTATCTAGTTGTTACATTTTAATTGTTCCTATGAGTAAAGATAAAGTAGTGTATGTAACTGCATATAATTAGGTATTAAAACACTCGAGTCAACCTATTGTAACACCTATGGACCTTAGTCCCTATATTTTATCATCCAACTGTATTATTTCTTTTTTTGAAACTCCCATACTTACTAGATTTGTTTACCAGTCTCATGAACAACAAATTCTCAGGCTCATTAACGATCATTAACACAAAAGACAGTATCATAATGATGTATATCCTATTTGTACTATTCTACGTACCGAGTAATGTTAGACTCTCTTAGAAATAGATAAGATTATGTACACTCTACAAGGGTCGTGGTGAGCATTCACTCATTAGTGATAAATATCTTAATAGAAAAACCCCTCTACCCTTGAGACAGTCAGTTCTTCTGCAGTTCTTCAATAACCATCGTCAAAAGTGGTTGTTATATATTATAATAAAGTGTGTTCGTAAATAACGAGTAATTCCTCTCCAGCACCCCTCTGACATCATCGACTCACAGTACGCGCGCGCTTTACATATTTTTGGTGTCAGAAGTGGGATGCGTCCGGTTAAAACGGAACATTCATAAAGTGAAGCAAAGTGTTTGGTAGTGAAAACTTTCGTTCCTGTTCCACGTTCAGCTACTACTCGCACAAGACGTAAGTACTAACGACGTGATTCAAGAATCGGTATAAAAGCGTAGTACTGTCCCCGACTAACTACGTACCGCATTCGTCGGCTGTGATTTTGAAGGCGCTGGTAATACCAGTTCATCGATCCTGAGGGCTGAGCTTCGGCATCACAACAGACACCTCAGAAAACGAGCATACAAAGACCAGAAGACTCCGCAGTAACTCACGGTTACATTTGGGTGAAAGTGTTTAAAAAAAACCCACGTGAGTGCTACTGTGTATCAAAATTTCATTCGTGAAATTAAGAATTAGATTAATTAGATTAATATTATTTTTAGCCATACATTTATTTTAGAAGGAATTAATAGATATATTGTTTTGATTGAAATAATTAAAATGTCGGTCTCAGATTCATCTTCAAACAACACTCATTGTGGATTCATAGATATTGGTTTAGCAGAACGAATGATTACGCGTTATAATGGAGATAAATCTAATTTTCATGTTTTTATTGATAATTGTAACAATGCTTATGCTTTATTACTCCCAATATATAAAATGGCATTTGTTTCGATAGCTTTGTCAAAGATAGATGGTAATATAAGAGCAACTCTCTTAAATAGAACATTTGATTCATGGGAAGACTTAAAAAATCATCTGTTAGAGAACTATTCAGAAAAGCGTACTTTTGCTCAATGGCAACTAGAATTAAATTCATGCAGGCAAAATCATAACGAACCTGTTTTAAATTACTCGAATAGAATAGAAAATTGTTATGTTAAATTAATTAAATCTTAAGACCGTAAATTAGGAAAGGAAGCTCGCGAAGCAAACATTAATCTGTTAAAAAATCAAGCTCTGAATATTTTTATAAGTGGTCTCAACCCACAATTACACATCTTATTAAAATCTCAAAAACAAGAGTTTAAATCGCGTCAAGAAATGAATCTCAGATACAATGAAAAGCCTAAGCGTTGCACTGTCACGTTACAATTTTAAACTGTCAAGTGTTAGGACATTTATCTTTTCAATGTAGAAACAGAAATCCAATGATAAGAACAATCCAATCTAATAATGTAATAACTTGCTTTGTTTGTAGTAAAAAGGGTCATTACGCTAAAGACTGCTGGCATAACAACAACAATAAATTTAAAACCAATTATAATAAATCACTAACGAATAGTAACTCTATTGCTATGTTTAAATCAAACCGCTCAAATAACTTTAATAATTTTAATCAAAGATCGCGTCAACAGGAGCATTTAAACTCCACCAGTCCAAAGACGGCGGCCGGTCCAAGGACTTCCCACGAGAACAGGGCCGAGTAATGTTAATAGATACAGGCATATCTTCATATTTAACATTAAACAGTGAACAACTTATAAAAGGTAAAGGAACATTTTTAATTGCTACGGGTGCAGAAGTGACTTTAATAAAAAGTAGCACATTAAGAAATAACACAAAAGTTTACGAAGACCAAAAATTGAAATTAAGAGGAATAGATAAGGATGTGATTCCTACAGAAACCAAAGGGTATACGTATCTACATTTGAGATAGGAGCAAAACGAGTTTATCACACTGTTTCGGTAGTCCCTGATAACTTTCCTATCGATCATGAAGGCGTAATAGGTAGCGATTTCTTGCAAGCAGTAGATGCAATTATAGATTATAAAAACGATACAATTAAGCGTAACGGTTAGATAAGTTAGAGAATATCCTACGAATTGATCATTTAAATAAGATAAAAAAGGATAGTATTATTCAATTATGTAAGGAATATAACCATATATTTCATTTAGAAGGAGATTCGTTGACGACAACTGAAACTATTAAACATGAAATACCAACGACATCACAGAAACCTGTAAATACAAAGTCTTATAGGTATCCTGAAGCACTAAAAGAAGAGGTAAATGAACAAATAAATAAACTTTTAAAGGATGGAATCATAGAACCGTCAAATAGTCCATGGAATTCGCCAGTCTGGATAGTTCCTAAAAAGACTGATGCATCGGGAAAAAAGAAATGGAGGTTAGTAATCGATTATAGAAAGTTAAATGACATAAGTATTGGTGATGTGTATCCATTACCACAGATTAATGATATCTGAGGAGGTTCGATCGAAATTTGAAAAAAAACGTAAAGAACACGCACGATGCGTTGTATGGGAGCGGAACGCTCAGCCGTATGGCACGTAATTTTGACTTTTCGAACAATGTATACAACCTTCGTAAAATCATTTTTGAGCAAATGTGTTCAAAAGAAATAATTATATTTTAATTTAATCTTTTGAGCCATGATATTAGGGTGTATGTGAAAAAGATGCGCACGCATTCGTAGTTTGAACTTATCCATTGAAATTTTCTGCCGATCGTGTTTTGTTTTCGGGATTTTAGAAAAGTTTTGCGATATACTTTTTCTTTGGTACCTAGCTACTTTGTTACATTTTAATTGTTCCTATGAGTGAAGGTAAAGTAGTGTATGCAACTGCATATAATTAGGTATTTAAACACTCGAGTCAACCTATTATCGCTAAAACAAATAAAATATAAACAGACTCTCGTGTTTCAATACCCCTTCTTAATTATTTTTTTATAATATTGAATGACTATTAATTTATTAATTCATATTTTTTTGTTTTATTATTGTTATTTGTATTTGACATTTTAAACTTTAGTAAAAATATACTAAGTAAAAATATTGTATTTTAATTGTTTAGACTCCGTAATATACTTTTATATAATTTGAAATCGACATGTGAATTGTATTTTTACATTTTGAATTAATTGAATGATTACTTAGTACTTTATGTATTTCTGTTCTGTTTATTATTGACGTGTAATTTATTACGAAATAAATGATTATGATTACGATTATATGACAGTCGCATAAATTTCTATTGGAAGGTCATAACTTGAAAGATGTATTATTTTGTCCCCAGATGCGCTTGCACCGTTGTGAGGGGTGCCTCGCGGCCTGCGGGCGGGACCGCCCCGCGGCGCCGCTCCCTGGAATCAACAGGTATTTATTAATTTATCCAACAAACCCAACGAATTGAAATAATAAGATTCGAACTGATCTAAAAATTTGTTTCACACAAACTGCGATCAAATGGGCGGGGCGTATAACTAAGATCAACACGTTGATCCTGGGATTGGTTGATATTGATTGGATAGCTGGATCCATACCAGGGGCCAATCGCCTAATGAGATTACTGTGGCTAACGTTATCTATCGCTTACGATTTCCTTTTATTATTACTGAACACAGAAGGTTTTCAAATGCCTAGCGCTCTTATTTATCCCGTCCCGTCCATTTATCCCATCCAATGACCATTCATTTCAGAAGTCGTTTAATTTCGCAGATCGATCTCCTATTTATTTTTACTGAAATGTGGAACTTTGATGGCGCCAGTGAGGAGCTCGATGGCGCCAGTGGTTAGCGCGTTCGGCTGCGGTCGTTGAAGTTGAGCAACTTTCGCAGTGGTCGGTCATTGGATGGGTGACCAAACATTTACTATCTCGAGCTCCTCCGCGCTTCGGAAGGCACGTTAAGCCGTTGGTCCCGGCTGTATCTGCAGTCGTTAGCACCCACCAACCCGCACTGGGCCCGCGTGGTGCGTCATGGCCCAATCTCCCTAATCCATCCATAGGGAAGGCCTGTGCCCCAGCAGTGGGCACATTAATAGGCTGATAATGTGGAACTTTTCCTTCGCAGGAGCAAAGTGATAAAACGTGCGAGACATTCCCCGTATCCAACTGTGATGAACAAGAAGAACTGTGACGGCATGGCGGAGCAGGCGCCGCCCACTCCGCCGGACGACGATGCACCACGTAAGATAATATTCAAAAAAAGACATAGACAAGTTTTAACGGGTTGCATGTGCTGAATTTATTTATTTATTGACGTTTCGCATCCTTTGCAGGATCGTTGGTATATATCACCGGCTTGGGAACCCATTATACTTAATCAGCCTATTTTTGTTGCAATTGGCCTTCGAAGGCGGATAGGCTAAAAATCATTGAAGCACGAATAAAGCATTAAAAAATATTTTATCTACTTTTTATCATTGTTATGGTAAATTAAACTTACAAATTTAATTTCACATTAAATTTAATTGAAATTCCTGTAAAATAACTTTAGCATGTGGAATTTTATAATAATTTTTGTTTCACCACTAAGATTTAAAATGTGAACATTTTTAATGCTTTAATAGTGTTTCAATGATTTTTAGCCTAACCGCCTTCGAAGGCCAATTACAACAAAAATGGGCTTATTAAGTACAATATATTTTCATGTTTTTTGATAGTTTAGAAGCATGCGGAGTCTTTAATTTTAGCGAGAAGCTATGGAAATATTGTATTTTTAAATTGAAGTTGAATGTTTGAGTAAATGCTACTAAAAACTAAAGTTCCAACTTTCAAGCCTTTTTTGAGTAACTTTAAGTAATTTCAGGAAGCTGAGTTATTTTCTTTATTAAAACAACATTCAAGACAATTATGTCCAAAAAAAAGACTGCAAAATACCTACTACGAAAGAAGATATGAATTTTTGAAACCTCACTGGCAGAAACTACTGTCACTAGTTGGACCACCCTGTATATGTATATATATGTATATATATATATGTATATAGTCGTGTGACGCATTCCCGTTTCATCTAATCCATAGGACTTTTCCATTTACACTCGTCCGTACAGAACTTTCATTTTAAAAAAAATACGGGAAATTAGAGGCATGAGCACAATTCGCTTTAGTCACAATTTCACATCCAAACAAACAGCATGTGCACTCAGTATAACAGTATTGAATATTCAATAAAATCAATTAGAGAGGTAGGTATGTGAACCTGTTTTCAAGGTGTCTCCAGCTCGGAGGTCCTGGTTTCGAATTCCGAAACTTGCAGTTTGTGTAAATGATGCATTTTGCTTTAAGAATTTTAGAAAAGCTTCGTTTCGTCGCTGATTGGACCTCTGTACCCTTAGTACGAGTTTTACAATTACGAAAGCTATGATAGTTTTCGTGAGCTCGCACTCGTTCTAAGGGTACTGATTTTATTGTTTTCGTTTCAATGCAAATAAACAATGTTTAAATGCTATCATTAAATCATTTGCGTCTTCTTAAATTTTAAGTATATTTGGTTATTTTTAACCAAAATGGACATAGGAACATAATTTACAATTACGAAAACTATGATAGTTTTCGTGAGCTCAAACTCGTACTAAGGGTACTGATCTTTACTCTATACTATTGTTCCAGCTATGCCTTGGTTCGGCATGGACATCGGCGGCACATTGACCAAGTTGGTGTACTTTGAGCCGCGTGAGACTAACAGGCGCGAACAGGACAAGGAGACGGAGGTGCTGAAGAACATAAGGCGGTATCTCACCAGAAACTCGGCGTATGGGAAGACGGGCAGGAGAGATGTACATTTACAGGTGAAATTAGATTTTTTATCTTCCTACACCACACGCTTTAAAATCTCTATTAAAAATTCTGAAACAGTTAGCGTATTGCCAACATTAAAATATCCAATGTCTAATTTAAAAAATCATTATAACACCCAAACGGGTGTGAGCCAATGGTCATCGTGGTCAAAGTAAGTGGCAGTCAAGTCAATCCCCCTTTCCATATGTTTCAGTAAAAGTGTGGGCATTTACTGGAGCCTCCCCATGGACTTCTTGAGGGAGTGTCGAAAGACACTTTCCGCTATTTTGTTTCACTTGCCAACACTTGCGCATGTTCCCGAACACTTAGTGGTTAATAATCCACCATTATTAGACACTAACATCCGCAACAACACAATTTTTAACAAGAAAAACAAAACTGCTAAAGTGACGCTTCCCGATCCCCCCAAAAAGTCCTGTTATGTTGTACTAAATTTCATAACACACCTTCGCTTTTTAAATCCCTTCCTCGCCAAGGGTTTGCTCATCGGACAGCCTCAATTTTCACTGCTGGATTCGTGGTATTCTGAATTTAAAAAAAGAACGTGTCATTCATGTGCGTTTCACTACCACGGCGCCGAAAGTTATGATGAATTTTCAATTCTTAGAACGCTCCATGGCTTCAGAATGTTCTATAGAGGATTCGTATCATGGCTGTTGATAAAGGGTGTATTCCTTAATATATACCAGTATACTGGCCAGTGCTAATGACGTCATGAATCGACGCTATACTGGTGAATTGTTCCGAAATATATTGGCCAGTGCACTGACGTCATAAATTGACGAAATATTAAAAATAGTGCGAATAAAGCAAATTTTTTATTCACCTCATCAATTAAAAGGAATTCTTTTTGTTCGGATGCCATTAATGTTCTCTAAATAAAAAAGAAATAAAATTCGAATGCATCTCACGCACGCTCGGTCATACTTCATATCCGTTTTCCCGGTAAAAATATGGTAGCATACCAGTACAATATGGCGTCGGATTCGTGACGTCATTACCACTGGCCAGTATACTGATGTATATTTCGGAATACACCCAAAGTCTAGTGTGCAACTGATAAACCCACATTCGTGTCTTAATACCCCTCATTATGCAACAGTTGCATAAATAACTATTAGCCTTATTGCTACTCGTAAATGAAGGCAATCGAAACCGGACCTGCGAAATCTCTGCCACTAAACCACCACCCCCTTATTAGTAAACGAAGACTTGTAATGTGTTTTTGTTGGCTACGGCTAATTTTGCAACAGTCGGCTAGGTGTTGAGCAATGTAACAGGGAGCAGGTGTTTATTGACCATGCCTGGAGTACTGTGTGCAAAACTTATTTATGAGGCGCCATGCCCACAGTAGCAAACGATTTCAGAATGAAATAAAACTGTCTTCACATTAGTGGAGAAGTATACGCAAAGCTCGACAAAGATGGCGTTGCAAACGCTTGACCCTAACCACAGCCGAATATTGCAGCTGTCAAATTTTAAACTTGTTTTTTTGTTGTTATAAATATAAAATAAGTGGTGAAAATGTATTCAACATTTTCTGTAATACAGCTGAAAACAGAGTTGAAAAGGAGAGGCAAGGCAGAAAAGCTAATCTAGTAGAAAGGTAATCTTTATATTATAATGCTTGAATGCTCATTCTCGGTACATCGATGCATTTTCCATGATTATTTTAATAGTGCATGGATCTTCGTAACTTTTGGCAGGCTCATTAGTCAAATCTATCTTATTTTTGCATCAGTCAGACATCTCATAGAGTTAGGTTACCTCTGGCTAAAATGGGAAGTATAACATTGGGTTTTTGACAGACTTGAGGCATATGACCGCAATTTTAATTTTGGTGCAGTTTTTTCTGATCAAAATGAAGTCATCCAGATGCATTTACCCCAGATACATACAATGATGTAAACAACAGCTCAGTTTTACTCCCCCTTTCAAAGCAACATATAAAATTATATATTAGTCGGAAACCTTGCAGTATTCTCACAACACACAGGAACTGCACAAGGTGGCATTTGTAATTTGTTCAATGAAAAGTTTAAAAATGAATATAAGCTAATAGGTATGTATTTAATAGAAGTTTTGGGTCAAGCGATTACAGCGCCCCTAGTGGCAAAATTTTGCAGTTTTCTTGTCCATTGTTCACATCCATTTATTTATTTTTATATAAGTATGCAAGTATAAATTACTCGACCAAAAGATATTACGCTTGGATTAGTTACTACATATTTTGTCTCTGTCTATTGAATGACAAATGGCACTTGAGTGACGTGAACAAAACACGATGTAACTAGTCTTAGCTTAATCCTTGTTTATTAATAAGGGGGCCAATGCCAGTTGAAAAGGTCTGAATTTGTCAGTAAAGGTACAAGTTTGTAGGCGACACGCAACAGCAGCAGACGCTAGCAGCATTGCGTCCTGTCACTGCAGTCTTGATTTCGGACCCGACTGCAGACTGCAATAGTAGATGGAATCCAATTGGTTTCGAGTAATCCGCGAGACAAAATTTCTGACGTGTTCGGGAATCATCAACATTAGCCTCTTAATGTCCACACTGCTGGGGCACAGGCAGCCACATAGGGAGATTGGATTATGACCCACCACGCGGGCGCAGTGCGGATTGGCGGGTGCTAACGACTGCAGATGCAACCGGGACCAACGGCTTAACGTGCCTTCCGAAGCACGGAGGAACTCGAGATAGAAATTTTTGGTCACCCATCCAATGACCGACCACTGCGAAAGTTGCTTAACTACAACGATCGCAGCCGAACGCGCTAACCACCTGCGCCATCGAGCTCTTCGAGAATAGTGATCGCAATTTTTTATAGCTTTAATTAGTTTTTTTGAAGGATTTTTTATTCGACATTGCCGTATGCCGCTCGACGATGCGTCGCTATCTTCATGTCGCTAACTACAGAGGGAATTTCATAGACATGCTTAGAAACTAGTAATATTGCTGCGACACGTCGTTTGCTGCAACTTCATGTCGTCCGTTACCAACTTGTGCCTTAACAATTAAAAATTTAATGCTAAATACTAAGGATGTTAACAAATAGAGGCTATGTAATAAAAGTTTCACTTTAAAACGAATCACAAATGATGACGTAAGACATTATGTTCCTCTTGCACAGTTCTCTTCAATTTTTTGACGACCTCCGTGGCCGAGTAGTTGTACGGGTTTCATGGTGCCGCCGACTCGAGAGATCCCGGGTTCGAATCCCGGTGGGGGCAGATGTTTGTGTGATAAATACGAGCATTTGTACTCCAGTCATGGATGTTAAATATGTATTTCTATATATATACTTATATGTACAATATATGTATTCTATCCGTTACCCCTACTATCCCATAACACAAGCCTTACAGTGCTTACTTTGGGGCTAGGCTAACTGGTGTTTGTTGAAAATATTTATAAAAAAAAGTAGATAGAAGTAACGTGCGAAAGAGACAGAATGCCCTGCGTCGGCATTTCTAATTCGTTTCTTTAATGGAACAAGTTTCGTCCTTACTTTAATCAATTTCTTAAGAAAGAATGAAATGTTGCTCAAGTAATTACTTAAGCAGTAGCAATGTCTTTTTCAACACATTTGCAGAAAAAAAAAAGCATTTACGGAGGTTGTATACATTGTTCGAAAGTTCAAAATTAAGCACCAAACAAAAGAGCGTGCGGTAACATTTTACCGTACGCTTTGGGACCTATGTCACCGTGCGTATCCTTTAGGTTTGTTTTTAATTATGATTGAACCTTCTAGGAAGCGCTACACGGTTGGCTCACTTAATAAATACAAAAAAAAAGACCCGAAAGATGTATGTGGAGCCAGGTGGGAATGCGCGTCATTTTCGTCTTGGAAAAAATTTGCTTCATTACTTAAAAATTATACTGTTTTCTCCCAAATGTATTGAGAAAGGTTATTGGTATTTACAAACTCGTGACTGCGGTAAATCCTCGACTTCGTATCGAGCTTACAATAACAAACATACTAATAACCAACTTACTGCACTAATATCATAATTAACTATTGCTTGTTTATAAATACGATGATTATTATCTTGTCATATTCAAATCAAATCTATGCTATGACGACCTCCGTGGTCGGGTTTTCTAGGCGTCGCCTACTCGTTATGATTCGATTCCATGTGTATATTATATATATACTAGCAAACCAGTGAACCAAAGGTTCACGAAAAAAAAATGTATTTAATTAATTGAAAACTTCGGAGATTTTGTGTTGTTTCGTTTGAAATAGAAATCACGTGATTTCTCGAAAACCGGAAGTGCTACGTTACTCACATCCGGTTTGTAGTCTTATCAGACTATTCTCAACTTATAACTTAAACATTCTCTTTATCTATCTCTTACGGTTTGGCCGCTGAAACAGCACCACGGACGGACGGACTTGTCTATTAGATAAGATATATATATATATATATATATGTGTGTGTATATATATGTTAAGGGCAATATTATAACTCCGGGTATTATTAATAATGGCCGGTCTGTATTCATAATGCCCGACTCCATTGGGCAATGTGATTAAAACAGCATGATTAATTACTTTTCCCGGCCATTATAAATAATGCCCATCTCATCTTGGGCAAAGTAATAAAAAAGGTTAACTGTAGTGCTTTTGTTTAGTAAATGAAAGTAAATTTTCATGAAAAGTTAACAAAAAATAAACTATTGAACATGACAGTTAACAAATAGGTATCCGACTTATTCATACTGTCCGGTCCAAGTGATAAATTCAAGCTATCTCAAACACTGACTTATTACATGGACCACGGGCCGTAGGGCATTATTAATAATGGCCGGTCAAAGTGATAAATTAATCATTTTGGCCATCGCTCTTGGGCATTATTAATAATGACCGGTCCTTATTAATAATACCCAGTTAATGACATTGCCCGTAACATATATATAAATCAATTGCTGTTCGTTTAGCTCACTAAAACTTAAGAACGGTTGGGCCGATTTTGGCTTAATGGTTGGTGGTTTTAAAATGTTTGTCGTAGTCCAGGGAATATTTAGACGTTGGATAAATATGGAAAAAATGCGAGGATGATAGTGTAAAAACAGTAATTTAATTTTCGCATATAAACTTTTCTACTTACTTTCCTGTCAAAAATGCTTGAAATTACCGATCAAAATTTTCAGCCAGTTAAGCGAAGGGAGAGTTTTAATATCATTAGTATAGGCGATACGAAGTACACCGGGATATCTGGTATTCAAATATGGATTCTATCCGTTACACTAGAATCCCATAACAAGCCTTTCATTGCTTCCTTTGGGGCTAGGCTAATTGGTGTGAGTGTTGGATATATTTATTTAATATTTATTTATTTATAGATGGAGAACGTCCGTATACGCGGCATCCGCGGCACACTTCACTTCATACGGTTCCCTACATCGGAAGTGGGTGCCTTTCTTCAGCTGGCTCGTTCCAAAGGCATGGCTGATCTGGTCAACACGATATACGCTACGGGAGGCGGCGCTTATAAGTTCGAAGAGGACTTCATAAAGGTAGGGATTAAGTTAACTGTTTATTTCTAGAGTAATATTGCCCACCTATCATTAAAATAAACCATTTTGAATTCTTAACTGATTCCGTGTTCAAGAGAAAGTTTGTAAATAATTCAGGATAAATCGTGGTGAATAAAATTACCAAAAACGCCCATTAAACCCGTTCAAAAAGCGTTTTATTTAATGTTATGGACGCCATTTTGACTTCATTTTGATGGTTTACAAGGGTACGTCGCCTTCTCTAAAATCCTAGGTTCGACGCCTATCAGAGGCAAATACTTGCAAATGTTTCGAACACAATACCTATACGTAACTGAGAGATGACGATTACAAGATTTAATAGGACTTAATTAAGGTAAGGACACCAATAGTAGGGTACAGACTCCATTTTGTCAAGTGTGTAGGTCCACCATTTTGACGAGTGGACAGGGACGCCATTTTGCCGACCTCTGTGCTTGAGTTGTAAATACAACTCTATAACAACTCTATAACTTAGGATCCGGTGTAAATACACCGGATCCTAAGTTCTGAGTTCGAATTCCGATAAGGGCAAATGTGTCGAAAATGAGCATTTTTGCCTTAGTTATAGCTGTTTATAAATATTTCTAAGAAAATATGGATTAATATGATGTTGGTGTCGATTCTGGTATGATTTTCTAAACTTTAAACTAAATGTAAGGACACCCCTCTGGTACCTGGGTGGGCCTCCATTCGCGGCGAAGAAAAGCCATACAGACTGGCGCCGTAACGCGTTACGTAACGAAGTTGTTTACTCTCGCATATGAAGTTATCACTTCAAAAACATCCTTTTATCAAGGTATTTGATCCAATATCTTTGCCTTCAGGAGGTGAACATGCGTTTGGCCAAATTGGACGAATTGGACGCGCTCATAGCGGGAGTTCTATTCGTGGACGCGATGAATTCACAGGAATGTTACTACTGGGCACCTCCCGACGAGTTGCCGGTCCATCAACACCCAGCCGATTCCGTAAGTCATCAGCCTATCACATACTTAAAGCTTTAAGCAAGCTAATGGGTAGATATTTATGTGAATTGAGAGTATTTAACAAGTTTTAGAAAACGATCTCACATTATTTACTTACTAATATTCATGGAGTTCGATGGCGCGGGTGGTTTGCGCGTTCGGCTGCGATCGTTGAAGTTAAGCAACTTTCGCAGTGGTCGGTTATTGGATGGGTGACCGAAAATCTTCTATCTCGATTTCCTCCGTGCTTAGGGAGGCACGTTAAGCCGTTGGTCCCGGTTGCATCTGCAGTCGTTAGCACCCGCCGTCACGTGACCATAGAACGAAGGAATCATTTTTGTATATTATAATGATTTTTGAGAAAGTTAATAATTATTTTTTCTCTCTGAAAAGTAAAACCCCCGCTTATATACATATTTAATGCAGATGCCAAAGAAGTGGGGGTTCGTGACGTCACTTCTAAGATTTTTTTTACCAAGACGTGACGTATAGGATAAACAATAAATACGTGTCCATTACTCTTTGATTATCTACCCGTTAGACAAAGAAAAAGATAGTCATCACTGGCCGTCGCGAAAGTTGCTTTACATTCAAGTTGTACTATCGGTTAATCGGATTAAGGTCCTGGCTAAATAAAGACTCCTGTTTAATTTTTCAGCAGACACAGCCACAGTTAAGATTTTTTTACGACAAAAGAGCCTATGGCCGTCTCCCGGCCCTATCGATCTCTATACCAAAATTCAGCGTAATCGGTTCAGTAGTTTAGATGTGAAAGCGTAACTAACTTACATTCGCTTTTATCTTATATATAAAATTCTCGTGTCACAATGTTAGATACCATACTCCTCCGAAACGGCCTGACCGATTTTTATGAAATTTTATATGCATATTCCCTGGGTCTGAGAATCGGCTACTATCTATTTTTCATATCCTTAAGTGAACATGGTTGTCCACCTGTAACGTTGTGTTCTGAAACCTACAATTCGTCTTCGCGCCAAAATTCAAAGTATTGGGTATTGTAACGTAGTGTTCTCATACGGGTTAGGAGGAATGTTATCCCAGGAAATTGATAGAACACTACGTTATACACCCCTAAAAATTTTTTTTGGATAATATTTATTTTTTTATAATGTGGTATTAAAAAATAAATACAACCCTAAAGTTTCTCTTCTACCACCTGCCCCTATTTTTGTGTTATAGTAAGGATTGAGAAACTTCTTAAATTGTTATAACTGCTGCACCAGCTATCTTCGCGTCTGGACTTTATCACCACTTATAGAAACATCAGGTGGGGTAGAGTCATTTGCCTACCTAGCTATAAAAAAAATGCAAGGTCTTGTAATTTTACCGCGGTAAAGTTTCACTAGTAGATATGGCGTCTTACAGGCATGTGACGTCACACGGCTCTTATTGAAACGTATTTATGTAGTCCACTGTACAATTCTCTCATGTGTCCCAGCCTCTTTCATGATTATTAATTTTTTTCCCTAGCCTCCGTACTCCGAAGCAGCCTTAAGCCTGTACGTCCGCAAGCCTTTTGACTTCTCGCGGCCATATCCGTTCCTTCTGGTCAACATCGGCAGCGGCGTGTCTATGCTCGTTGTCAACGCGCCCACAGACTACTATAGAGTTAGCGGTACCAGGTAATGTAATGAAATGAAATGAAAGTTTATTTGCATGAAACAGAGTTTGTTACAGCTGGTAAATAATATAAAAAGTTTCATATGTTTCGCCCTTGGAAGAGCATACAAAATACTAATGAATTATTTAAAAATTCAAATTTAAATTGAGTAATAGTTGCATTCCAATAATTTTATAATACATGTCAAATTTTCTAATTCAATAGTCATTTCTTCATTATGTCAACACAATTACAATAATTAATAAATATAAAAACTATACATTATATTACACATAATAATTATACAATACACGCTAATTTTTTTAAGCCAATAGACATTTCTTCATTATGTCAACAAAATTACAATTATTAATTCATATTAAAAATTAATTTGTACTATAAATATATATAATGTAGATAAATAATCTTAACTTAAAAGGCAACGATATTAAATACCTACTGTACGGGACGCCGGGCTGTCGCAGTAGCGGACAGTTACCGACTCGTACTGCGGGGTGGAGGAAGTTACACGCAGGAGTCTTGACTGTAGTGGACTGTAGTTTCGGCGAATAAAACCCCTGGTGTTCGGTATTGAAGAAATCGGTGGGCGCTGATAATGGATGGCCGGTGAGAGGAGGCTTCAGGTCCAGAGTGAACCGCTTGGTGTTTCTTCCTGTTCCTTAGGGTAGGAGCGCCTGTCGCTGAATGCATGTCGGAGCATTTATATGCTAGGACTGAGCTGGCCAGCGATCCATTACCTCACCCACGCTATACTTTATTTTTCATTTTCTCAAAAATTACATAAGTGCGAGCTTAAAACTAATTGTACATACATCGAGCATACATATAGGCATATTTTTAACACAGTTATGTGTCCGTAAGCATGATATTTTAGGTGTGGCGCTCAAAAAATAGGTCTCCGCAATATTTATACTTTCCCCCTCCATAGGGCTTCGCCCTGCCACGGGGCTCCGCTGCCCCACCCGCGCGCTCCGGGCGCGCCGGGTGGGGGGGAGCGCAACATGTCTTAGAAAACCGTTCTATACAAACAGATTTTGTCTCCTACACGGTACATTTCTACATTTATTGATGTGATGCCTATTTATTTATGTAGTCCTATGCGTTATCTACCTAATACAATAAGTTTCTAATAAGAATATTAAGAAATAACAGCTCTACGGCCCTATAAAGATTACAAATTAAAAAGTCTTAAAAAACCTACTTACATTCACTTAATGCCTAACTATCATATATCATTTTATAGAGGAAGTAAAAACACACAAAACAACATCATTATCATTACAATTATACCTATATCCTATCAACTATTCGTAAAAAACTATATTTAACATTTTCGTCAATTATGCCTAAACTGTTGATACGATTTACACAAAACTTTGATATATTACTCTTATAACTACCTATTTCCTAATAAGATATAAAACAAATAAATCGAAACATAAAAACATACTATTTACGAATGCTTACAATTCAGGTAAAATCTTATAAGATGTTAGAAAAGGACAGCCTATCGTCTCTAGGTCGGAACTATCAATATTCTAACTAGTTTCCCCGCGCCACCGCTTGGCGTCGTGGCGATCGTTTAGACAAATTCTTATAAGATTGTTGGAGAGAAAGAGACGGAATATCGCTCTGAACTATCAATTTTACAATCGTTTACTATGGGCAAAGCTAACTATTATTGCGATATCCGACTCATTCTAATAAGACAACAAGGGAATGATATTTTTAATGTGTATACAACCGATACATGTGAAATTATAGATACATTTTATAAATCAATCTCATATTGACGTAAGTTTATTTCGTCTCGCTTCGGTCGTAAGGCGGTCGTCTCGTACACCCACGATAAATCACGTGCGCTCAAAATGTGTCCCAGTCAAGAAGTGCTTGACACCACTCAAGCACTTCTTGGTTTACAGTCACGCGCGGACCGTTGCAAAGTCAACACGCCGCTGAGCTCCGTGTAAAAATATGTAAAATAAATAGTTATAGTATGTAAAATGTCGTTTTTTCGACAGGGATCTAATCAATGTTTGTTAATTTAACGCATTTGAAGCAAAGTTTGTTTTAATACTTACTATAACCTGATTTACTAGAAAATATTTATGATATTCAAATGCATGGTCGATAATATAGCCGTCTCTTTTCCCTGCGGTCCGTACCTGCTATATTGGTAACAGCGCATTCAGAATTTATTTATTTAATCTTTTTGGTCTTTACACTGCAAATGGCGGACTTAACGCCAATATGACATTCCCTACCAGTCAACCATCAAGAAATATGCATAGAGTCAAAGAAATAAGGTCTTTATTCTTCCGCATATAGCAATGAGTCGTAAAATATTACGACTTATTGCTGTATGCGGACTGTACTGTCCCTTGGAGCTGTGAAAAAATCAAACTTCTAAGCCAAAGTAATCAAAAGATACAGCCTTTTATGCCGCAAATTTTCGAAACTCGCACGGAAATCAAAACTTAGAGGGTACTTCCCGTGAACTTAGAATCTTGAAGTTTGGTACGAAGTAACGTCTTAAAGTACATATAAAGGAAAAATTGCGAACATTATAAAATAAAAAATATATTTTATTTAAATTTATTAAAATATACCTACAGGTTTGTACGGAAACCTCGGTGCGCGAGTCCGACTCGCACTTGGCCGGTTTTTTTCTAGTAAAATTTTCTTTAAATTTAAACATCTAGCAGGTACATGTTTAAAAAACATACTTATTTTCCAATTTTCTTTCCCCCAGTCTCGGCGGTGGTACATTCCTCGGTCTATGTTGTCTATTGACCGGATGCAGGAGCTTCGAGGAAGCCATATCTTTGGCGGCTTCCGGCGATAACACCACCGTTGATAAACTAGTACGGGATATATATGGAGGGGACTACGCGAGATTCGGGTTGCCGGCTGATTTGGTGGCTAGCAGGTGAGATTAATTTAAGTATTATCTAATATATAAAATTCTCGTGTCACGGTGTGCGTAATTGAACTACTCCGGAACGGCTCGACCGATTTTCGTGAAATTTTATATGCATGTTCAGTAGGTCTGAGAATCGGACAACATCTATTTTTCATCCCTCTAAATGTTAAACGCCCGCAGGAATCTCAAACGCCCGCGAAGTAGAAGTTACACACCTTTGGACCTCGACGAGCTAATATCTTGCAGGTAACTCTGGAGACAAGGGTTTAAATGCAAATACTTGTCAAGGTGAAATGGTCCATAATAGTGTGGACTTAGAGCTCCAAATCGGAATTGAAGTGACAACCAAACGCTCGAAGTCCGCTTTGGTAGATGGCTTTTCTGTGTTCAGGTTTAAATGTAGTTAGTTCAGCCTTTATAATCATTGGAAAATGATGTTTATTACAAGTTGATAGAGCTGAGTTTAAAGTATGATCAGGTGGGTGTTAAATTAAAACGGTAATTTAATGTGAAGATGTAAGTTTGAAAATGGAATTATTAACTCTTAATTGCGATTGGTTGAGCTTGAGGAAGGGTTATATAGTATGAATTATGGTGAAACAACTCTTTACACGAGGACATAGAGTTGAAAACGGACGTTGTGGTGCGAACTGGTGGAAGATTTAATATTGTGATTAACATTGCCATAATAAAAAAAAATAAAAACAGCGTGTGTACAGAGTACGCATGTCAGAAGTGCAACAAACTTTCATAATCTTTATATATATAATTCTTCTGTGAGTGTGTATGTCACTGAACTTCTCTTAAACGACTGGACCGATTTTGATGAAATTTTTTGTGTGTGTTCAAGGGGATCTGAGAATGGTTTAGATTCACAATTTTGTCCGCTGGACAACCCCTATTTTTTTAGGGCGGTACGAAGTTCGCTGGGTCAGCTAGTCTTATATATAAAATTCTCGTGTCACAATGTTATTTACCATACTCCTCCGAAACAGCCTGACCGATTTTTATGAAATTTTATATGCACATTCCGTGGGTCTGAGAGTCGGCTACTATCTATTTTTCATATCCTTAAGTGATAATAGTTGTCCACCTGTAACGTAGTGTTCTGAAACCTACAATGCGTCGCGCCTAAATTCAAACTATTGTGTTTTTGCTGTAGGTAACGTAGTGTTCTCATACGGGTTAGAAGGAATGTTATCCCAGAAAATTGATACAACACTACGTTACACACCCCTAAAATTTTTTTTGGACAATATTTATATAATTTGTTATTAAAAAATACATACAGCCCTAAATTTTCTCTTCCATCTGTCCCTATTTTTATGGCGGTACGAAGTTCGCTGGGTCAGCTAGTAATAATTATAAAAATATATATTTACATAATTACATAATTTAAAAAACAAAATAAAAATAACAAAAGTAATCTGATAATTCATTAGAATAGATACGTACATATACGTACATGGTGAGCAAGTTTTTTAACAGATGGCGCTGTTCATACATCTATACATCGCGGTATGGTTTGGTATACATAACGGCCTTGATATATATGTACAAACTTTTGAATGTGGTTGTACAAAGATGAACATTAAAATAAGTATATAGCGTGCTTCTTCTCTTTCTCTTTAGTTGTTTACATCTATCCGTCCTTTAAAATTTTAAATCGTCACACTAAAATCTGACGCTCAAAAATATGCTGACTTTATAATTTAATATGTCTAGTTTTCAAACCAGCCCCTTTTTTATTGATTTAGTGTCCAACTTGGGAGATAAGAGCGATTTTATATAGTAAAATCGTCACATAGCGGCCTATCGAGAGTAAATCACTCCCACAAGCTTATGCGAGGTGTGCAATACAAAACTCGTCCAGATGTAGGAAAATATAGATGTTAGTTTGTTTATGGCTTAAAGGATTGCGAACAGACATTATGGTGTTTGTTCTAAATACAAGTTACAGTTAATAGCAACATCAATTTATGAAAACTGGGCAGATTAGTATGACAAATATAAAGCGACACGAAGGACAACTGTTACCGCGTCGTATTTATAAACGAGCAAACGACATTACTTCCGATGAAGTCATTACATGAGCTAGATAGTTCATTTTATCTTAAAAAAATATCAATGTTGGCACTGTCAAAAATGAGAATTCTTATAACTCGTGCCATTAAAGGAACAGATTGAAAATACTATCGCAAAGCATTTCAGTACCTCTCTAATGTTTCTTAGGATAGCATGTGGCGAGAGACAGAATGTCTTACGTCATTTGTCATTCGTTTTTTTATTGACGCAACTTATAACCAAGTAATAGGCACTATTTTCTTTGCCAAATAATCATTTGCTTTTTTGAAGAATAAAGTGTCAAATAATGACTTGGTTAGTTAAGGCTAATTTACGCCGCGGCTACACTGTGCGTCATTGCGGCATACTACAAGGCCGCATGCTACAATAATTAAAAATGTCGTACATAAGGGTCTGATTATATTTCAGACGAAAATGCTCGGGTTTAAACTGTTCCACACGTTCCGGCAGGCTTTTTCTATAATTATGATGAAAATGATATGATTTTGTATTGACACTGTAACAATATATTATTTTGCAAATATTGTTACGTAATTATTTAACGCTGTGTAGTTTTTTTCGCCAGTTTTTCTCCACAGCTAAAAATGTCCTTAACTTAACGGTGGTACAGGAAAAAATATGGACGATTCATAAGAGTTGTATTGCGCATCCAATTTGAATAAAGATTTTTTGACTTTGACCAGTTTCGGCCAAATGGCGTCGGCTGAGAGACGCGCTAAAGTGTCCCGTGAAGACTTGGCCCGCGCTACTCTGGTCACAATCACTAACAACATCGGTTCCATCGCCCGTCTGTGTGCCAGCAATGAGAATATTGAGAGGGTAAGTGGTTAAAACTAATCCATATTATATCTACTAATACAAGCAGTCCTCGTACTTACGGCATGTTAGGTTCTCGAAATACCCGACGTAAATCGAAACGACATAAGTCGAGACATGCCCACGGACATTGACCTCGCTACAAGTGAATTCTCCTATGCTAGAAATCGAAACAATTTACGTATGCTTGAGGAATAGTGTCAAAACATTGTATGACGTAACTTGAAACGACGTATGTCGAGGACTGCCTGAATTATAAAAGCAAAACGTTGTATGTTTCTTAGTGGTTGAATCACGAAAAACAGGTAGTACTATATAAATACGAAAGTGTATCTGCCAGTCTGTTACCCCTTCACACTTAACCTGAACCGATTTATATGAAACTTGATATATAGATAGTTTGAGTCCCAGGGACCGACATAGGATAATTTTATCCTAGAAATCATCCTTCAAGGTGGTGGAGAAAGGGGGGGGGGGTTGTCAGGGATATTTCTTACTGTCAAATTCCATAGTAATTTGACAAATACTTTTTATATATAATATAAAAATATATTTTATATATAAATAATTTTTATGTATTCATGCTCGGGGGGACTGGGTTCCATATCAAAATGGATTTCAAAATATAAATGCTTAGAAGTAGTCTCATTCTATCTTGTTCGTTTTTATAATAACATGGTTTATATAAAAAAAAAACGAGCGAGCTTTACAGTAGTCGCGTATGATGTGTAACATTTGAAACCTCACCTTATATTAGTAAGAAAAGAAATAAAACCTACTACAAAAGAAATAAGCCATTTGAACATTATGTTCTAAAATCAAATCAAATAGAGCACGCTTTCGCGACTTCCTGTTATACACTTCCGTCCCATTTCATGAAATCACTCCCACAAATTGCAGGAAAGCGAGAGGAAAGATGTTACACATCAAAAACAGAAATTGAATAAATAAATATAATTTCTAACGCAATGAGTTGCACAAGCGACTCCACATCTTTCATAATGCTATGCATAGAGTGACTGATGTAACAATACCTACCGTCTTGGTTACTTATCAGCACTCCGCCGGTACGAATTTCGTTTTTTCTTTGTGCTACCGTCCAGGTAGCAAAATGATAATATTGTCATTCGCTCGTAAATATGCTAAATTGTGTGTTTGTGTTGTGCTTGTACTAATAACAATAGTTTGCCTACCTATTAAGGCTGTATTCCGTAATATATCCCAGTATATTGGCCAGTGCTAATGACGTCATGAATCGACGCTATGCTGGTGAATTGTTCCGAAATATACTGGCCAGTGCACTGACGTCATAAATCCACGAAATATTAAAAATACTGCGAACAAAGAAGATTCTTTATTCACCTCATCAATTAAAAGGAATTCTTTTTGTTCGGATGCCGTTATTGTTCTTTAAATAATAAGAAAATAAAATATGAATTCTTCTCACGCACATACGTCATATTCGTTTTCCCGGTAAAAATATGATAGCATACCAGTACAATATGGCGTCGGATTCATGACGTCATTACCACTGGCCAGTATACTGATGTATATTTCGGAATACACCCTAAATGAAATTAATGAATGATGATAGTTTTATAAAGCAGCTGCGCTGCGTCATTTCAACTTAGTTATTAGATTAAGTTATGTATCTCATTTTAAGTGAACTGTCTGTGTAAGTTCGTATGAGAACTAAAATAGGGGTGGTGACGGGGTACATTAAACGAAATTCTATTTAGTCCGTCAGTTAGATAGATGATCAAAAAATAATGGACACGTATTTTTTCTTTGGGCAATCAACCAAAAAATTGACAAAGTTATAGCGCGTCAAAGTTTGGGAGTAGGATCTCGTGACGTCACTTTTAAGTGAAAATTGAACCAAAACTTGCGACTTTTTAAATCAATATATCTCTGCAATGTTTATATTATGTAAAAAAGAAAAATACGTGTCGTGTCCAATACTCTTTGATAATCTACCTGATATAAGAAGAAAAAAAAAAGTCATCATCCCTATTCTTTAAACTAATTGACGACCTCCGTGGCCGAGTGGTTTATACGCCGACTCGAGAGGTCCCGGGTTCGAATCCCGGTGGGGGCTGATGTTTGTGTGATGAATAGGAGCATTTGTACTCCAGCCATGGACGTTTAATATGTATAATATAAATATACTTATATATGTACAATATATTATTATGTATAGTAGTAGTATCCCATAACACATGCCTTTAGAGTGCTTACTTTGGGGCTAGGCTAATTGGTGTGAGTGTTGGAAATATTTATTTTATTATTTAATTCTGTGTACAGGTAGTGTTTTGCGGCAACTTTCTACGCGTGAATCCGTTGTCTATGAAACTGCTGTCGTACGCGATGTCGTACTGGTCGCGGGGCGCGCTCAAAGCCTTATTCTTAGAGCACGAAGGGTGAGTTTATTTATTTAGGCATGCTTACAGTCACACATATTCATATTTTAATGATTGAATAGGATTCTATTCAATTTTCTTATACTTACAAGCATACACAACGATTACAATAAAGTTAATAAACAACTAAATATAACTAGAAAAAAAGCCACGCGGTCCAGGAAGCAGACGGGACTCGAACCCGCATCCTTCGCAATCCGGGCGAATGCACTGACCAATTATGTTACCGCGGATACAGATTTAATCATCTAGCAGTTATATGTTTGACTTGATTTGACGACCTCCGTGGTCGAGTGGTTGCCGGGTTTCATGGTGTCGCCGACTCGAGAGGTCCCGGGTTCGAATCCCGGTGGGGGCAGATGTTTGTGTCATGTCTCCGGTCATTGATGTTTAATATGTATTTCTATATAAATATACATACTTATATATGTACTGTATATGTATTCTAGCCGTTACCCTAGCATCCCTTAACACAAGCCTTACAGTGCTTAGTTTGGGGCTTGGCTTTATGTTTAAAAAATAAAGATATAATGCTAATGTTCTTTATAATAATTTTTCATTTCGCAGTTACTTCGGCGCAGTAGGCTGCCTGCTCCACTTAGATATGAAGCAAAAGAACAAGAGTTTGTCGAGAAACGCGACCCCCATAGTTGAGCCTGGTCACGCGGACAGATGAGCGAAAACCACCCTTATGTCCTTAGAAATAAAGCAGGCTTTACCGTAGCTGATGTGCGATGTGACCCTACCTTCTTATTTCAGTTCAGAAGATAACAGATGAGCGAAAACCACCCTTATGTTTTAAGAAATAAAGCAGGCTTTACCGTAGCTGATGTACCCCCTACCTTCTTATTTCAGTTCAAAAGATTGTAGATGAGCGGAAACAACCCTTATGTTCTTAGAAATAAAGTAGGCTTTACCGTAGCTGATGTGCGATGTGACACTACCTTCTTATTTCAGTTTAAAAGATTGTAGATGAGCGAAAACCACCCTTATGATTATAGATATAAAACAGGCTTTACCGTAGCTGATGTGCGATGTTACCCTACCTTCTTATTTCAGTTCAAAAGATTGTAGATGAGTGAAAACCACCCTTAAGTAGTTGGAAATAAAGCAGATTTTACTAGTATTGGTGTACGATATATCCCAACCTTCTTATGTCAGTGTTAGCTACAAACAAATTGTTATACAAGACAACAGATGAGCAGTAACCACCATTATGAACTTGGAAATAAAGCAGACTTTACTATGACGCGTGCGACGGACAATCAGATAATTTTCAAAAAGTTGTCAAATACCCTATGTGTTTGACAAATATTTGAAAAAGATCTTGCGTTATTTACACGTTTATAGGAACTCCATAAAAAGTGGTTATTTATCAATTTCCGAAAATTGGTAATTTATTAAAAAAAATCGTTCAAATATGGCATTGAATCCTTTCTCGGGGTAATATGGCGGTTTACCTATGTGTGACATGACGTCACTCGGCTCTCATTCAAACGTTAATCGGAACAAGACGTAATGGATATGATACTTTATTCGATTTGATTTATTGAAAGTTTAAATCTAAAGAAAAGCTTTACTAGAAAAAAAAGTTCTTTAGATTTAAACATCTAGCAGTTAAATGCTTAAAAAAAATAAAAGCATAACTATTTTTTTTATTTATTTATTTATTTACTAATTTAGTACACACACAATAAAATAGATAAGAACAGGAACAAGAAATTTGTTATTATTATTGAAAGTTCTTTTGAATCATCCAATATTTGTCACTCGTTCTGTAATAATGTCACTGTGACCGAAAGTCTACATATGTGTGACGTCATTTTAGGCTTTTTCGGTCACGTGACAATAGATATCAAAAAAATTCATTTTCGTGATTTTTGAGTAAAATCTGCAACATATTTTTTGTAAAAATAGTAAATTCACAGGTGATTTCATATTGTTGCTACTTTATTTCTAATATCGTCAAATACCCTGTTTACTGATTGATTCAACCAAATTTGATAGCACTTCACATTACTATAAGTATTTTGGTCGCTTATTTTCCTCTGTAAGGTACAGTGTACCACAACAGAGCGTTCAATAAGTCAATTTGAATAAAATATCATTTAATTTCATTATTTATCACTAAGTACTTAGTCAGTCACACATCAGTTGGGTAAGAGTACGATTAATTGCTAATATTGTGCCTACGTAGCTTGGTTTCCCGGAGAAATAGGGAGTATAAAAATGACAGCTGTCACTGAGACAGTGTGACATTTAGAATTGTGACAAGTTTTAATAATTGTTATTTTCGAAATCGAATTATGTTAAAAAAGGGTTATTTTTAATAATTCAATATTTAGTATCATCACAATATGATATAAAAATTATTATGTTTATAAAATTTACACTTCGGTAAATATTGTTTTTGTTTTCTTATCCAATACTACCATATTACAAAACGCTTGACTTTTTAAATAGAATATATAAAAGACAGAAAAAGCTTTAGGATGAAACTAAACGCAACTAAAGGATGTATTCCGTAATACATACCAGTATACTGGCCAGTGCTAATGACGTCATGAATCGACGCTATACTGGTGAATTGTCCCGAAATATATTGGCCAGTGCACTGACGTCATAAATTGACGAAATATGAAAAAGAGTGCGAATAAAGAAGATTTTTTATACACCTCTTCAATTAAAAGGAATAATTTTTTGTTCTGATGCTATGATATATTATTCTTTAAATAATAAAGAAATAATATTCGAATGCATCTCACACACGCTCTGTCATACGTCATATTCGTTTTTCCGGTAAAAATATGGTAGCATACCAGTGCAAGATGGCGTCGAATTCGTGACGTCATTACTACTGGCCAGTATACTGATGTATATTTCGGAATACACCCAAAGTCTACGTTATTGTAATAAGGCGGTTTGAAATTAGATATAAATTATATCGTGCATTTTGTTTCAATAGTAAAAAATATCAATGCATAATAGAAAGAATGTTATTAATTTATTTGTTTTGTGACACGTAGAATCATTCCTGAGTGCAAATGTAATGTTTGGATGTATGTGGCATTACTGGTGTTTCTCAAATATTTAAAAACATCTCTAACGTAATATACATGGTTAATTTTAAAACGCCAACAACCTCTTAGGGGGTGATTCTACCCATCAACAGGAACAACTTTTATTATGGGACCAACGCTGAAATCTCGATAAAAAAAATCAGCTGTTTCATACATTTCGGTCGATTAGCTGATGCACTTTTGTATGAAACAGCAGATTTTTAAATAAAACTAGTTTTTAACAGGTTAATGCACGAAACTTTATTTATTTATTGACGTTTCGCAGCCTTTTCAGGTCTGCATCGTCAGAATAATGATTTTTTTATTTAATTTTGTCGAGCTACCTTCGAAAGACTATTGAGCATACGGTTATTTCATTGGTATGTTTTTAAAATTTTATTGTCTATGTATGAATTTATTAGTTTATTTACTAATTATTTTATTTAAAAATTCTTTTTTGTAATTTTCAGTTTATTTATTTGACTCTCACTACCGTAAACTACCACCGGTTCCAAAATTGGGAGACCTTTCTGAGAAGAACCGGTGAAACAAACTCAGAGAGGCTTTCTATCTTCTTCTTATGTTAAATTATGCAAACAAAAAGAACTAATAGCATCTGTTGGTCTTGCAGTGTGTGCTCGGGGTTGGATATCTCTTGTATAATGGGTTCCCAAGCTGGTGGTATATACCAACCATCTTCCCTATTGAAAATTGGGTATTTTTTAATCTCAATAGCCTCGTGTATCTTTCTAGGAATGAATCGTTGCTCAGTTGCAGCTCAGCAGATTTTTTTTTCGCGATTTCTTCGTTGGTCCCATAATAAAAGTTTTTCCTGTTGATGTGTAGAATCACCCCCTAATAGGTTGTTGGTGTTTTAAAATTAACCCTGTGTAACACAAATGAAACAAGCAAAGGTGTACCTTGTTTATATGAAGCGAAGGATCAAATTCGAAAATCAGATTTTAAGATTTAGGTACTCCTTTGAATTAAATAGCACAAAGAATCTAACCACAACTTTGCCAAATGGTTTAGAACTCTTATGTTAATTGATACATTATTTGGATATAAATGAATAATGTCAAGTTTATGCAAATAGCAAACACGAATAGACAATTGAATTGCCAGCCTAAATTGTTATTAAATCGTTTGACAAAAGGTGGAACTAAATAATGTAAATATGAAAAAATTAAAATATTACAAAAATTTTAGATAGGTTCACAATTTATCGGCAGTTTATAATGTCGCGAGATAGATTATAATGTAACGGTATTTACAATGTTACGGTGACATGTATATATTCGATCATGCTATATATCTTTTTAATAGTATCCAATACACTAGTAATGCCTTTATATTTGTAATAATTATGATTCCTTAGCACAAACTTTTATTTGTAAGGTTGGTCGGAAACTTGGTCCTATAATCTATGTTTTGATATTTGTAGTCACACTCATAATTCTGTAATAAATTTAATCGGTTAAGAGAAAGTTGCTGCTGCTATTTAAAATTTTTATTGGTTAAGCAACTAGTAAGAGCTCAATGGCGCAAGTAGTTAGCGCTTTCGGTTGCGATCGTTGAAGTTAAGCAACTTTCGCAGTGGTTGGTCATTGGATGGGTGACCGAAAATTTACTATCTCGAGCTCTTCTGTGCTTCGGAAGGCACGTTAAGCCGTCGTCCCGGCTGTATCTGCAGTCGTTAGCACCCACCAGTCTCCCTATTCCATCTATAGGGAAGGCATGTGCCCCAGCAGTGGGGATATTAATAGACTAACTGATGGTGCAGCAACTTTGCAATAGCCTACCATTGGATGATTGAACGAAATTTTTATTTTCAATTAAGAACGTTGGTTTCGGAGAACTAATCTAAATTAATCCGCACTGGGCCTTCGCGACATAATCCTAAGCACTTTCACCCCTAGAAGTAGGGACATCAATTCGAGGTCAGAACTGTGATTCGAAAAAAACGAAATATTAGGTCAAGTTTCACTCTAACCAGTTTTTTTAGATGTATTTTTAGTCCCGAGTTGGTTGTTAACAGAAGGATAACATATTGCAACGCACGATGGAGCGACATGTTCAGACCTTTTAAATGCCTAACTTTTAATGAGAAAACTCATGAAATGACTCCACTAATTCTGGGTTATTTTATTTTAATATTTTGCATCCACGGGTTCACCCACAGAACACAGAAAGAGGTTAAAAAGGGTGAAATTAGATCGTTTGTCGGGAACCGATATCGCCGGCTCACCCCCACTACACTTCCACCTAATAGATAATAGCCAATCAAACGACGCGGCATCAAACAATCGAACCAATCAGAGCTCACACCCGCGAGCAACGGTGCAATCAGAACCTAGTTTTGGTCAAGTTATGAGTATTTAAATAAAACTAGTTTAACGGGTTAATGCACGAAACTTTATTTATTTATTGACGTTTCACAGCCTTATCAAGTCTGCATCGTAAGACTACCAGTATTCTGACGATGCAGACCTGAAAAGCCTGCCAAACGTCAATAAATAAATAAATAAAGTTTCGTGCATTAACCCGTTAAAACTAGTTTTATTTAATGAGTGATGTGCGTGAAAACCTAAGAAACAATTATGAGTATTTGCTAACACATAACTGTGGCACGCCTGCCCCGCCCGCAATACCTTTTTAACCTCTTTCTGTGTTATGTGGTTCACCCGCATTAATTTGACGAATATGATTATAGTGAGTCAAACTTAAAAGAATGACAATGAATCATGACAGAATGACAAAGCGACATAAATGCCTCTTTATTAATAAATTAGGAATAAGCGAAGACTAATTAAACCATGTTTTCTTCGTATCACTCGTGCGACATTTGTAATTCAGTGAACAGAGACAAAATATACACTAATTAATCCAAGTTTATTCTTTGTTTATTTAAAGAGGGGGACGGTGTCGCTAAAGTTTTTTTATAGAACTTTTAAACAGGAACAATTATGTCATAAGTGATTTTTGTCTAACTTTAATCGTAGCTTACACAACAGAAACTCAAACGGAATATTTTTTCCGTTTTTACAACTTTTTTATTGGTCCATCCTATGCAGAAAGCGTTATGTTTTTATAGCCTATAGCCTTCCTCAATATATGCACTGTCCAACACAAAAAAATCTTTCCGAGTGTTGCAATGTGATGTCCTTCATAATGGTTATTTTTAATATTATTATAGTATTCTTGTCGCGTTCGACGCATACTTTCGTTTACAAAAGTACAGTGAAAAAATGTTTCGCCTTTATTACTAAGTACTAAGAGCGAAATTCATAGCAAATTTGTATCCGCGTAAATGTTTTTGACTATTCTGTTTTGGTTATATAAATTTGTAGAACTAAAGTCAGTTGTTTGTTTATATAATATAAATATTGTGCACAAATAAAATAGTATCAAAGCAATGAATTAGAATGCGTTTACAAAACAAAAATGAAATAATTACTTAAGCCGCCTATACATGTTGGTGAAGCGAAGGCCAATACCGTATAGACAGTATATTTGTCTTACATTGTCATCGCTCGGTGTCGCTTGCCTTATTTGCCGAGTAAAGGGAAGCGCCAACGTGTATAGACCTCATTTGGCGTTGCTTGTCGGCACTCGGTG